CTCCAATTATCTGGATAGACCTGAAAGATCACATTTGCTGCTGCTTGGCCTGACCCGAGCAGTCCTGTGGGTACCTCGACTGGAGCTGGAGCATTTCTCTTCCTGACCCTTCCAATCAAGAGCAATCCGCAGAGGGGTCTGTGCTGCCCACAGACTGCCACCAGCTCCTCAGCCTGGCAGCGGTCTCCTTTACATCTGGCATCTTATCTGGCATCTCTTCTTATCTCTTGGACCTTTCTTCTCAGCTCCTTCCTTCTGAGTGGTTGTACTGCCATGTCCTTGACCTTTGGGCCCTGTTCTTTCAGCCCCAGCAGCCTGAGGTTTGCTGCTGAAGTTGTGTTTTGCCCCAGTGCTGGCTCACAGCTGAGCTTCCACACACCCAGGGCCATCTGCAGCTCCTCCATGTGTGACTCAAGCACAGGGCTGCTGGGTGAGTCATGGACTGCGGGAGATCTCTGTGATGGGATCAGTCTTCCTTGGCTGGTGGACACTAGCTCACATGGAAGAGCCTTCCCATCTGCTGGTCTAGCAGTCTCCTGCCTTGCTTCCAGTGTTGGTCACAATCAGCTTGCTTGCAGTTCAGACTTAGGCTTTGCCCACGCATTACGCCTCACAAATCCCAATGTTATAGCAGTTCCCTAACTTCTCCTCCCCATGTGCAATACTGCATCACCTCTGATTATAAACTAATCCTTTGAGGGTGTCAGACCAACGTCCATGCAGCTCTTCATAGCATCCCCTCCTTACCAGGCTTAGCAGGTTTGCATTTCACCTTCTGAATCAACACCCGAGTTTCTGTGCAAGCTCCTGCTCACCCAGGTTGCACCTTGGAGCATTTCCAAGAGCTGTGACCCATCTTACAGGGAGAGCAGGCTGGCAGTGCCTGCACCAGACAACATCTGGGTTGACCTTTTCATCCTTCTCTATTTGGTCTGCCAAAAATGAAGGGGAAAATGGGATTAAGTCAGTGGGGGCATGTTAGAGTGGGGATCAGTGGTGTTGAGTGGGTCTGGAAGGTCGGAGATCATCACCAGTTGATGACAAAGAGAGGAGATCCAAGGCTGGAGGTGCAGGCAAACTGGGAATACAGCTGGGGAAAAGAAGGGAAAGGGTTTTGATCCATCCTGCCCTGATTCCAGGTTTCGTGTCACACACATCGGGAAGAAACCCACTTTCCATGAGCAGCAGGATGGGCCCCTGCCCGACGGCAGCCGCGAGCTGAGCACGGAGGAGCTGGAGCACAGCAGCGAGTGGCTCCAGCGGGAGCGGGCGCGCAATGGGACTGTCCCCACGGGTGGCCTGCAGAACGGAGACGTCCAGAAGGGTGTCCAGGGTGGCAAAAGCGGGGGGCAGAGCTGCTCCACCACCCCGGCCCCGAACACCCCAGCCAGCTCCGGCACTCGCGACAGTCGGCGGGCGGGCAAGGGCTCCGGCACGGCGGGATCCCTGCAGGATGCTGGCACTGCTCCCGGCAGCACCAGCCGCCAGAGGAAGCTTCTGAGCCAGCGGATGCTCGGAGGGTCGAGTCCCAGCATCCCGGGAGCGCTGGTGCAGGAAGGAGCCAGCATCTGCCTGGAGGAGATCGGACTGGGGTCGGCAGATGAAGTGTCGGATATTCACGGGAGCCTGAGTCTGCATGAGCAGGTCGATGACTTGGGAAGAGATGACAGCAGCAGGAAACAGCCCGCAGTGGGGGATGTGGGGCAGAAGGTGGGTTCCTCCTCTTCCTTGTCCCTGTGGGGTCCTCTGGGCTGGGGGGTTTGGGTTGTAGCTCAGCATCCCAAGTGCTGCTGACAACATCAACCAGCCCCAGTGTGGTGGTGTGAGCTGTGGCATGGGACCTGGCCTGCCGCCCTGTTTCTGCTCATATTTCGTGATTCCATCTGTTTCTAATGTCTGGGGGATGCAGTCACTGTGACAATTCCCATCCCACCAGTACCTGCACTGCTGGCCAAAGGCAGGTCACTGGTTGGCTTGCATGGGAGATGCTGTAGACCTGCTGCCAGCTGCTCCTAGGGCAAGGGATGAGGTTGCTTCTTAGTTGGGGTGGCTTTTACTTGAGCTGCAGGAGCTCTATCACTGCACATAGCTTGGTCCCTCTGACACTGCAGCCTCACCACAATGCTCAACATGGCCTCAGCACAATGTCCAGGCAGGGACAGATAGCACCAGGAGCCTTTCTTGCCTTGAAGTCTAGGAGACAGCAAAGCCAACCAGTCAGTTCTTGGTTGTTCTTCCCTGCTCCAGAGGGGCTGGTGCTGGCTGTGCTTAGACAGGAGGCCACCATAGCTGGAGCTCCCAGCATCCTGGTATCTCCCAACCATCCCAGCCAGCCACCCTGCTGGAGGTGCCAGAGAGCACTGGAGAGGACACCATTTGCTTGGCCATCAATAGCCCCTATTTTAGGGGATTTGCTCCCTGTCAGTGGCTGTTATCAATGAGCAAATGAGGCTGTTGGTGGTGGCAGCAGCCACCCAGTGTGTCCATTCATTCAACTCACCTGTGGCTATGGAGAAAGGCTTTTGTGAAGGGAGCTGGGGAGGGCACCTCATGCAACATCACCCCACCTGCATCAGCAGCCCCAGGAGCTGGCCTTGGCTCATCCCACCAAACCAGCACTGGACACGTGTGGCAAAGCCCTTGGAAGAAAAGGGAAGCAAACCATCTGGATAAAGAGCCAGAGCCATTCCCTGGGGCTGGCAGTGCTGGAGCTCCATGGGCCAGGCATGGACCATCCTGCAGCCCTTGGCAGGGAGATGGGATGGAGCTGACTGCATCAGCATTGAAGAGCCAGGGAAAGGCACCTGGCTGAAGGCAGGGTAAGGAAAAGGCAGGAACTCACTGTGTTTATTGGTCCTCTCTTTGCTTTCTGGGGGCCAGGCTGGAAGGTTCCAACTGTTTCATGAAGGGCAGCCTAAGGCATCCACACAGGACAGAGCTGATGGGCTGTAGCCCTCCTCCAGAGACCTGGAGAGGTGGTGTCAGGTCCTTCCTCCCATGACCCTCTGTGCCTTGGGCAATAGCTGTGGCCCCTCTGATCACTGGAGCAGCAGTTACACCCAGGGCAAGCCTCTTTCTCCTCTGTGGTGCCAGGCTCTTGCCTTGGACCCTGCACCAGGCTTTGGGCTGTTGCTTCGGTGAGCTCCAGGACATGGAATTCCTGGAGAACAGTAATGAGACCTCACCAGAACGTCTGTCAGCAAGCCCTGGCACCACTCTGCTTCCTCATCCTTAGGTCCCAGCCAGGGCCATCATGAGGTCCTGCTCAATGTGTCCTGCAGGTGATGGAGAAGGGCAGCAAGATGGTGTTTGTGCTGTTGTCAGCTTCTGGAGCCTCAGCAGGGTTCTGCTCACTGGCCCATGGATCACTGCTGTGGCCAATGGAGACCAGCCCATCTACCCCAGCATCCTGCTCCCACAGGAGCACTGACATCCATATCCCTCCTCTATCCCACAGGAGCCCAGGGCCGTGGTGCAGGACCGAGGAGCAACTGTGTGACGTGAGTGCTTGTCCCCAATCCCTGGGTGATGGCTGGGGTGGGAAGTGGCAGTGTCCCTGCTCTAGTGGGTCACTATCTGGTGATGGAGAGAGGATGAACCCCTGCTCCAGTAGGGTTGGTTCCCAGTGCCCTGAGTCCTGCACAGGCAGGTCCTGTTACCAGTGTGCCCAGCCCCAGGCAGTGATGCTGGCTCTGGGCAGACACAGGGCCAGGACAGCCTGTGGCTGATGGGGGATGTTGTGGCCACAGGGACAATCCCCATCCTCTTGCCCCTCTCCCTACAGCTCCTCTCCGCTCCTGGCTGGAGCGTGGACAGGAGGTGCTCAGCCCCTGACCCCTGCCGGACTGGGGGCTCTGCCATGGGGTACCCGTGGGGCAGCCGGCCCCAGGCCTGGGTTGGCAGCTACGCGCTTGGCATGGCCGGAGCGACACGCCGACGTTACAGACAACGCGCTCGGCGCCAGACCTCATCCCATTGGCAATAGGTACCCGACTCCCACCCACTGCACCTGCCCTGGAGACCCCCCCCCGGCCTGGCAGGGGCAGGACAGGACCCGGTCCCCACTGCCCACCCAGTGCCGGGGGAAGGATGGACCCGAGGGGCTGCAGCGAGGGGCAGGATGGAGGCAGCAGCTTGAGCTCCCCCAGGGTGTGGGGCAGCACCCCCCAACCCACCCAGCACATTCACCACAGAGCACAGCCCCGCTGGGCACCCCGGCCATGCAGAGCGGGCACAGGCACACATCCTGCACCGGCAAGGGACCCGGCCAGGTCCCTGTGGGATGAGGTGGAGAGAGGAGCTTCCAGCCCCATTCGCAGCACAGAAAGGACTGGAGCCAGGCCAGCGGGCAGCCCCCGTGCCTGCAGCGAGCTTTGGTGTGTAACCGCACTGTACATAGACAAGCTAAAACCATTAAAGCTGCTGAATCCCTCGGCAGAGGCTTAACCGGTTTTATTGGGGCACAGCCCCCAGTGCCCACTCCTGCCTGTGGGGAGATGACCGCAGGGCTCAGCGCCCCCAGGAACCAGGGCTGCACTAGGGCTGCATGGGTGATGGAAGGGGCAGAGGCAAGAGGTGGGTGAGATGGGGCCCAGCCCTAGCACTGAGCACACCTACAGAGGGGCTGTGAGGATGCCACGTGCTGTAAAGGGATGCAGGACCACTCTGCAAGCGGCGCTGGGCAGGATGCTGCCCATGGAGAGACCAGCTCAGGGTACGAGGCAGCACAAGCCTCTACTGCAGGACAGCAGCCCATGGGGGCTCACTGGGGTGAAGTGAGTTGAGGAGCAGGGAGCGATGTGGGATCTGCAGGGTCAGCTGAAGGGCAGCTCGGGGTCAGGCTCAGGGGCTCTGCTGGGCGGTGGTGGTGGTGCTCGGAGCTGTGGAGAGAGAAGGGAAGTGGTACCAAGGCCAATCATCACCTTCAGACCCCCCCAAAGCACACAGATGGTGCTGTCCCCTGTTACAGGAGGGCTGGGAGCAGGTTTGGGGACACAGCATCACTGTGATGGGGCTTACCGGCCGGAGGCGGGTGGCTGCCAGGTCCGGGGAGCTCTGCCCGCTGCCTGTGCCATCCTGTCGACAACCTGGAAGCGCGCAGCAGCTCAGCCCAGCTCTCTGCCTACCCCCGGCCCCTTCCCAGCACCCCAGCACTCACCTCCCAGTGACGATGCTTCAGGAGAGGGGCTGGGGACCAGGCTGGCCCCGGGTGTGAGGCCAGGAGGGGAGAAGGGCGGTGGGGACGGCGATGGCAGCTCCTGGGAAGACACAGCCAAGGGGGATAGGAACAGCGGGAAGGGGGGAGTTTAACCCCCAGTAGCCACTGCACAAGACTGGGGCGGCCCCACACCAAGGGGATACAACGAATGTGGACCACAGACCTGCCCAGTTGGCCCCCGTGCCCCGGTGAGTTCCTCCACCACCAGCGAGGGGAAGACACCAATGCGGCCATCAAAGTCACCCGTCCAGAAGCCATCGTCCACCTCGCCGGCAGCGCGGGGCAGCACCCGGATGATGGCCCCCTCGGGGAAGCTCAGCTCCTCAGGGCTCTGCCCCTCATAGTCATACAGAGCTCGCACGAGCCAGGCTGTGGGGAGGATGGGGAAGGGTCTCAGCACACTCTGGGTGACCTGTCCCCATCCCCACGGCTGCGGGGATGCTCCAGCACCCACCTCCGGGCTCCAGCACCAGTTCTGCAGCCATGATACTGGAGAGCTGGCGGTGCAATGCAGAAGGTCCCGGAGGACCAGCCCCGGCCCCTGGCTCACCCCCCAGGGACAGGAGGTACTTTTCAGGGACGTAGCCAACCTGGCCAGCCTTGTTTCGAGCCTGAGGGGACAGAAACCATATAACCATCCCAGCCCCAGAGAGGGGACAGCACCAGGGACCTCCATAATGTGTCCCCCCCAGCATGGTGGAGGGACTCATCCCATTCCCACCTTCACCCACTCCTCTGCATCCCCATCCTCGATGATCTCCAGCTCCTCTCCCTGGGTGATGGACAGCTCGTCTGCCTGGCAGCCCTGCAGGGTACAGGTGACAAAGTGGCAAGGATGCTGAGGATGCTGGCCCTGGGCAGGCAGGGTGAGGGACAGGCACCCACAGCTGTACCTGGTACCCAAAGATCACCCGGCAGGTGTAGGGGTAGGTGCGGGCAGCAGGGCCAGGCTCATCGTCCTCATCCGGTTCATCACTGTCCTCGTAGTCATCAAACTCGGCTGGATCCAGCCCTGTGGGAGCCTCCTCTCCTGCCCCCACCATGGCCCCTGCCAGCCAAGTGTCCACATCCAGCCCTGCTGCCCGCAGCAGCGCCAGCCGTGCCTCTGCCTTCACTCGGCTCAGCTGTGCAAACACACATTGTCCAGGTCTATGGGGACACCTATGGGGTGCAGGGACAGCCCAGCAAGCCCCATCACCCTCGTCCCCAGCATGACTGTCATAGTGGCAGAGCATCCCCAGACACCACACCTCCCATCCTGGCATCTACTACACCTCCCCATCCCTGCATCCACCACAGCTCCCATCCCTGCATCCGCCACCCTGTGGGTGACAGACCTGGAACCCACCCTGAGCATCCTGACAGAGGGACCCACCTCTGCCTTCCGGATGTTCTCCCTCACTTCTTCCATCTGCCGCTCCACAGCAGCTGCTTCCACCTCTGTGACCTGCTGCCGCCTGGCCTCCAGCCGCTGCAGCACCTAAGTGGGCACCACAGGTCAATGGGAAAGTGGGAGCAGGGGAGAAAGCAAGGAAAGCCTCTCATTGAACTCCCTGTGCCCCGTGGGGAAGGACAGCACCCACCTCCTCACTGTGCGCCTTGTTTTTGCGGTCCCGGGCCACCCGTGTAGCCCAGCGCCGTGCCTCCTTCTCCAGGCTGGCCCCGTCATCCCCCGGTGGCATCAGGGATACCTGTGTGAGGACACGGTGGCTGAGAAGGGGCTGGCTGTGCAGCCCCCCCACCTTGCTGTGATGCCCCATCACTCACCACCTACCTCCTCCATCCCAGTGAGCTGGAGGCGCTGCTCAGGGGCCAGGGTGAAGGAGGGATGCTCCTGCAGGAAGAGGATGAGGTCCTGCTCCCGGCACACCTGCAGCAGTGGAGCAGTGTGAGGCTGGGGGGCTCATCCATCCCCTCCTGCCTTTCCCCCCTCCTGGAGTAGGGGGGCTGTTACCCGTGCAGATGCCTCCGCAACGCCCTGGAAACAGTCCCGTGTGGCCCGGCAGGTCTCCACCTCTGTCCTGCTGGCTGCTGACAAGTGCTCCCGCAGCCTCTCGTACAGGTCACCGTCCAGTGCCTGCAGGAGAGCAGGTGGGAGCCACCCATAGCACTGCCCGCATCCCCCCAGCACTACCTGCATCCCCTGAGAAGCATCCCTGCCCTCTCTGCATCATCAGGACCTTCTCTGCTGCATCCCCTTGCAGCGGCACTGGGGAGATGCTTCTTGTAGGAACCTCATGAAGGGACTTGGATGGTCCAGGCAGCTCCTACCTGCATGGCAGCAGGCAGCTCCACACGCCAGTAGTGCTCCAGGTGGGCAGTAGCAGACACCAGGGCAAAGCTGTACTCGTTGTGCACCCCTGCGAGCTGCCTCGAGTGCTCGGCCAGCCGTGCAGAGAACTGCAGGGATGGGGAGAGCAGGGGTTGGTGATGGGCTGGGGGCCACCGCCCCATCCCCCTGCACCCTGCTGTTTGGATACGCGGTGCTGCTGACCTTGGCACTGAGCTTTTGCAGGCTGGCCTTGGTGTGAAATATCCTCCGGTCGCTCTTCCGGAGCCTAGGGAGGGTAGGAAAGGAGATGTGAGCCCACCCTGCAGCCATGGCAGCCCTCTCCCACCATCCCCTCTGCTCACCGAGCCTCCACATCAGCCGCCTTGTCCTTGGCCACCTCGTTGCTCCGCTGGAGGTGGGTGAACTGCTTCTTTGCCTTGTCCAGCTCCTTCACCGTCTCCAGCAGCTCTGCCTGTGCCTTCTGCAGCCGCTCCATGCCCTGTGAGGAGTGCCAGCAGTGGGACACAAGGAGCTGTCCCCACTGCCCAGGCACAGGGGACACGTCCTCATCCTGGTACCTTCTTGAGCATCCTCTCCTTGGAGAGCCGGGCAGTGCGGGCGGCCTCTGCAGCGAGGGCACGGTAGCTCTCCGAGGCGGTGACACGGACCTGCCCGGCATGTGCGGTCCCCTCGATGACACCCCTCCAGACAGCAACCACGCTCCTGTGCAGGGTACGAGGGTTAGGACAAGGCAGGGCTCCCTCCGGCCTCCCTGCCAGCGTCCCCACTCCCATCTGAGTCGGGTACCGCATCCTTCATTACACCCCATCCCCGGGATGCTAAATCCTCGTTGGCATTAGGCATCTCCCAGCTGGGAGGGCCATGGATGTGCGCAGCCAGCCCCAGCCCCAGCCCCTTATTCCCACCTTGAGTCACCGGCCTCGCCGCGGCCCCGCTGCCAGTCTCTCTTCACAAACTGGCTTGCCAGCCTCTGCAGTGCCTGTGGACAGACCCAGCATCACCAGCACTCCCCAACCCTGTTGAGCACTCCAGCATCCCACCATCCCACTCTGGGGCTGAAATTGGGGTCCCCCACACCATCTGTTCACCCCATGGGTATCCTCAGAGCAGGGAGGGCACGCATCTCACAGCAGCTGGATGTCAGCAGGGATACCATCATGCTTCCTGCAGGAAAAGCTTTTTGGGGCACAGCCACTACTATGAGATGACCCCCTTACTGTGGCTTTTAGGGCAGAAGACTGGCAAAGGGACACCAGTGAGGGACACTGGCTGCAGAGGTGGGGTAGGGGAGTCCCCAGCAAAGCAAGACCCCAATCTTGAGGGCATGGGCCCCCCCCCAGATTGGAGAGCAGAGAGGGAGCAGGATGGCACGGAGCCCAGCTGCAGGGAGGGGGGATGCAATTCCGCTGCAGGCTGTGCCCAAGGGATGCTGTGAGGACATCTTACAGAGCAAACCAAGGCTCTGACATTTAAGAGCAGAGCCCTGCGATGACCCAGCAGACAGCAGAGCCAAGCAGCTTCCTCCCACTGCAAGATTTTCCCTCCAGGCCCCCCAGACACGTGAGGCTCAGGCATGCTGTGCTCAGCAAAGCATCCCAGTGGGTGCCCTGAGGTGGTCAGTGTGTCAGCCCCCCCCTCTCTAGCAGGGAAAACGCTTCACCCATCACCACAGCCCTCCATGGCTGACAAAGACCAGCCAAGCCCTGTTGGCTGGATGATTTCCAGCTCTGCCCATCACTGAGTGATGCTGTGCTCTGCTCCAGAGCCCCCCACACAGGGAGGATGGAGCCTGGTCTCATGTGCCCCCAGCCCATCGGTTCCTGAACTGGTGGCACCGCCTCACCTGCCCGTACTCCCTGTCGATGGCAGCCCTCTGCTTGCTGTAGGACCTGTGGCGAACGGGCACAGCGGGTGAGGACCCACACAGGAGGGTAGGGACGCTCCACCCCTGCCATCACCCCCCTGCCACCACCCCACCGCGCAATGCCCCCATCTGGCTACCCCGGCGGGTGATGGAGCCCACGACCTCGGCGCGGCAGGCTCAAGGTGAGCCGTGCCCGGCGGGCTGGGCCCTCGCCTCACACGTGGGATGAGCTGCCCGGTCTCAGCGCTGGAGGGGACACACACACAGACCAGCGAGGGCCCTACCTGATGTCCTCCAGCAGCTCGGCATCCCGCTGCTGCTTGCCCTGCAGGCCCGAGAGCTGCTCCAGGACGTGGACCCGCACCTCCTGCGTGAGCTTCACCTGCGGGGCAGCCACCGCTCAGCCCACGGCGACGCTGCGACCCCGGCCGGGCCGGGCCTGCCGGCTTGAGCTGCCCCGGCACAAGTCCCCACTGCCCACCACACCGCGTGCCGCTGCAGGTGCCGGCAGCCAGGGCCCAGCACCGGTGAGGGTCGGCCGGGGGCGACTCCCGCTCTGCAGGTCCCGGCCCCGCTGGCACCCGGGGAGAACTCGGTCCCCAGCGCCCGGTGCCCCGCTCCGAGCCCGCGCTCACCTTGCGCGGCGGCGGCTGCATCGCTGCGATGCCCGGTCCGGGTCCGGGTCCGGGTCCCGATCCCGATCCCGATCCCGATCCCGATCCCAGCCCCGGCCGCCCTCCCGGTACCCGGCTCCCGCCCCGCGCGTGCAGAGCCCGGAACTGCCGCGACCGGGCCCGCCCCTCCCGAGGCCACGCCCACAGCCCCGCCCCCGTAAGCCTCGCCCACTTGTGGACCACCCGATGACACGCCCCTTCATCTGAGCAAGCCCCGCCCACGGTGGCTAGCAAGCCACGCCCCCAACGCCGTCTCCCCAGCGCCCCCTCGTGGTCGGCGCCGCGCGTCTGTCCGAAGCGGTGGGACACGGATGGGGACATGGGTACAGGGGGGACACAGGGAGCAGTGCGGGCCATGTCCTTGAGCAGGGGGAATTGGGAAATGCTGGGGCACAGGGGCACTGGGAACGCTGAGTTGAGGACTCACAGAGCAATGGTCCTGGGACACGGTGACCCCTGGTGCGCTGGGGTGATGTGGGGTACTGGGGCACTGGTCCTGGGGTGTGGGAGCATGTGAGGCAGTGGGGCCTCAGCCCCCAGGCACAGGGACATGTGGGGTTCCACGTCAGGTGGAGAATGCTGAGCCCCTGGATGGCAGGGTCGTGCCATGGGGACACAGGGACAGATCTGAGCAGGGGCATTCGGTGGAGGGCACCGAGAACCCAGGGGGATCCCCAGCCAGCCTTTGCCCTGCCTGTCTCCCGTTCCCTCTGTCCCTGTCCCATCCCTCTTCCATCCCGTTCATCTCTCATCTCTCTTTCCGTGCTTTTTCTCTGCCTATGATTCCTGCAGAGCTCATGGGTTTCCCCAGTGTCCCTTTTTCCCCCTTGCTCTTTCTCTCACTTTTTTGGTGCTTGCTGCACATGTCCTGGCTGATGCATGTCAACGCACAAGGATGGGCTGGGGCTGTGTTACTGGGTCTGTTATTCCCATCCATGCCCCCTCTGCTTCAGGAGGGAGCTGGGAAAAGGAACGAGGGGCCACTCAGCACCCACTTCGGTGGCAGAAAGGGGACAGCAGAGTGGGACAACGCAGGCTGGCCCCATCTACAGGGTGACATTGGCTTGTCAGCCAGACCAAGGTGATGACTACGACGCCTGTCCCAAGGAACACTGCTGAAGACGTCACCAGGCTGAAACCCAACTGCATCCTTCTTGCCCTCTGCGTGGGACATGTACGGCTCTGCTGCGGTTCACGACTTTCGATGGCTGCCTTGCGCCTGCTTCCCCCTCCCCACAGCGTGTCACTGTGGGCAGGCAGCCGGAAATCACCCCAGCCTCAAGCACGTCCCCTGTCCCCTGCGTGTTCATCGGGGGCGGCAGCTGACGGTCATCCGGAGCTCCCGCCTCGTCTCAGCACGAGGATGTGGTCGCAGGCACGGCATGGAGTGAAAGAGGAAGGAGGCAGTGGGTCGGGGCTGGCGCCGGTCCTGCCGCAGTGACGCACGGAGGGGCCAGGCCTGCCTGTGATGCTCCTGCAGACCCAGCTTGTGCAGAGGCCACCCCGCAGAGATGTCCCGGTTGGTGCCATCACCCGGCTCTGCTGCTGCCTGTGTCACCCTCCTGCTCGGCTGCGCCTGCCTTGGCTTGGCAGTCCAAGTCTCCCGAGGTAAGTGCCTTGGTGGGTCTAGAGGGTGATGGGGCAGGACAGGGGCACACATCGTGTCCTGTGATACTTGGAGGGGATATCTGGGTGTCGTGGTGAAAGCTCGGGGCACTACTCTGCTGCCTTCCCTGGGTGTCCACGCTCAAAACCTAAGGAAGACCTGAAACCTGGCCACCCCTGGTCCACTTGGCAAAAACTGTTTGCTGCTTTTGTGTCCTGAATTTCCCCTGTGCCCTGGATGCGCAGAGGTGGCAGAGGTTGTGGGAAACCTATTGGATGTAACCAGAGTCCTCTGGGGACCATCTGGATGGGGCCTTTGGAGCTGGGGGTGACTTGCAGGACAGCAAAGCCTGGATGTTTTCTGAGCCAGACAGAAGAGGGATTTGATCAGAAGTTGTTTGTCTGGTGTCCCGGACCTTCCTGTTCTTCACTTTTGTTCTGAGCATGCAGTGAAAAGCCTCAGAGTGCAGGAAAACAAGGAGGCAGCCTTCAAGTTGGGGGCCTGGCCAGGAGGAGGAGGAAGCAGCCCCGCTGGGAGAACATCTCCTGTGCTGGCATGGGTGGTCTTATCCCAGCCCTGTCCCTGTGGGTTTCTTGTCTGCCCTTTTGATCCTGTTGTGTCGCAGGGGACCCGTTGTGCTGGGCTCATGGGGCAGAGCAATGCCAGGTCCTGCTGTTGCTGATGACAGCTCCTGCATGGTCCTGAGTGGGAAGGGGCAGTGAGAGCTGAGCCTAATCCTTGTCCCCTCCACAGTGCGTGACAAATGGCGAGCCCTCATCCCCCTCACTGCCCAAGAAGAAGCCGCTTGCCCCAGTGCTTCTGTGGAAGGTTTCCTCAACAGCACCCTCACCACTCGCCTCCTGCCTGCCCTCTACTCTGTGGTCCTGCTCGTGGGGCTGCCAGCCAACGCTCTGGCCTGCTGGGTCTTGGTGACCAACTTCAGGAGATGTTCCAGCACCCTCTTCCTGCTCAACCTGGCGAGTGCCGACCTGCTCTTTGCCCTCCTGCTTCCCTTCAAGATCTCCTACCACCTCCTGGGCAACCACTGGCTCTTTGGGGACTACCTGTGCCGCGCTATGATGGCCTTCTTCTATGGGAACATGTACAGCTCCATCCTCTTCCTCACCTGTGTTGGCCTGGAGCGCTACATCTCTGTTATGCACCCATTCCTGTGGAAGGGCTCCAGTCAGATGTGGATCAAAGCAGGTGTCTGTGTGGGCATCTGGCTGGTGGTGGGGCTGGGCATGAGCCCCCTGCTTTTGTGCCCCCAGACAAATCATATCTCCAGCCTGAACATCACAACGTGCCACGATGTCCTAGGAAAGGATGCGCACATGTTCCTTGTCTACTATTTCCTCTGCCTGGTGGGGCTGGGCTTTGGCTTGCCCTTTGTGCTCATGACCATCTCCTACAGCTGCATCCTAGTGCGGCTGCTGGCCGAGGGGAGACGCTATAGGCAAGTGGTGCATGTCCTGGCCGTGGTCCTCCTGGTCTTCATCATCTGCTTCACCCCCAGCAATGTGCTGCTCTTCATCCACTATATGCTGAGGGCCACGGGGTGCCACAACGCCACATACCTGTGGTACACTGTGGCCCTGGTGCTCAGCGCCTTCAACAACTGCTTCGATCCCTTTGTCTACTTCTACGTCTCCCGGGATTTCCGGGTCTGGGTGCGGGATGCAGGCAGCTGCTGCCTGAGGGGACTCAACACCTCCTTGGGAAGGGCTTTGGAGAAGGCAGCCTTGCCCCTGCGGTCCAATGAGCAGAGCCAGATGTAGGCAGGGCTTGGGGTGCTGCACTGTGTCCCCCTGCACCAAAGGGGGACATCCTGCGGTGTGGTGCCACCACAAAGGGCTGCTCCATCCCAGGCTGGCATCAGCCTTAGGCAGAAGATCCCACCCTGGATCTGGGCTTCATCCCAGTTTTATAGCTCCTCTGCTGGTGGTGCCCCCATCCTATGGGCCCCCCAACTGCACGCCTTGCCCTGGCACCCTTATTTCCCCATCTAATGGATGCCAGCATCCCTCATTGCTCCTCCTGCAGTGACCAAACCCTCCAGAGTACAAATAAACCTTTATTTCTCCTTGCTGCTGGAAGGAAGAGGTATATATAAATACCCTGGCTGAGCAGTAGCTGTCCTCCATCGCCAGGACCGTGCTCCAGGCACACATGGCCAGCCCTGCTCCCATTGATCACTCTTCTCCCCCCACAAATACACCATGCTAGAGACAAGAAGGGAACTGGGGGGTGGCTTGGGTGTCCTGACGTGTCCCATGGGCCAAATGCTGGAGAGGGGACATCACGCTGTGTTCCCCCATGGCAGCAGGCACCATGTGCCCTGTGCCTGACACTGTGGATGCTGCTGAAACATGCAGGCTCCATGTTTCTGCTTTTATTTTCCCTTTTACTTGCTTCCCATGGTGCTGGGCCTAGTGACAGAGATGCCACCCAGGAGGGAGAGCACATGGGGCAGCATCCCCAGCCCTCCAAAGAGGGGGTACCATGGCTCAGCATCGTTGTCCCCACTAGTCCTCTGGTTCCCACTAGTCCCCAGGTCCCCACTGGTCCCCACTCCCAGGTGAGGAGGAGGAGGAGGGTGCGTGCTCCATGCTGTAGGAGTGTGGGGTACCCATTGTCGCTGCTGCTGGGCACTACTTGACCCCCAGGTTGGTGGCCACCCCTTTGGCACAGTGAGTCACGTCACCGGCTGGCCTGGCCCCGGCGGCTGGCCCTCATTCTTCCTGAGGATGACGCTGCTGAGCTCCTGGATGAGTTTGTCATTGATGGGTGAAGGAGGCTGCACGCTCCTCTTCCTGGGTATCTCCACAGCGGTGTCTGCACTGGGGCTGCTCCCTGGCGTGGCTGCCTGCTCCCAGTCCCTGCCCAGTGCCAGGAAAGGCTCCATGTTCCTCTCCAGAGAGGCTGTTTTGGTGGGTCTGAGCCCCCGCACTGGAGCTCTGTCACTCTCCAGGTTCAAGCCCCTCTCGAGGGACAGGGCTTTGGCGACAGAGGGACCTGCCACCCTCTGGGCCGGGCTGGCGGGCAGCGAGGAACGCAGCGCTGTGGCGGGGGGATGCTCAGGGAACAGGGATGGCTTGGACCTGTCCATGGGGGGCACAGCCGACAGGTCTGCCAGCAGCCCCTGCCCCAGCTCCAGCGTGGCCAGCTCGGGGAAGTTGCCCACCTCCTCGTAGACAGGATCAGCATCTGCCTCCTTCTCCTGCTGCTCCTCCAGGGAGTCCTGGTGAGCCTTCATAGGCTGCAGGAGGGCAGGATGTCACGGTGAGGGGCACTGTCCACACCGCTCAGCAGGGTACCCCTCCATCCCCCCTCAGCTTGCCCTCCCTGCAATCCCTGCCATGGAACCATTATCCATCAGCTCTCTTGGCTCAGGCACTGTTGCCCTTTCTTCCCTGTTGCTGATGGAGGATGA